GGACGGAGTGGTGCGGCGTCTCGTGTTCGGGGAGGGAGCGCTTTACGTCCAGGGTTCGCTCGAGTTTGATGATGTGGTTTGGGTCGGATTTGGGGACTGCCTCGGCCTTGAACTCGTAGGTTATGCTGACCAGGGAACCGTCCATTGACGTGGGCAGGTGCCCCTCGAGCAAGATGGAGAAGGGGAAGTTGTGTTTCCCCTTTGCTAGTAATAGAGGCTGTTGCAGGAAGATCCATTTCTTCAGCTCTGTGTACTGGTTCGTGCAGTCGTGGCAGTGCGCGACGTAGGGCCTCTTCTGCACGACGTGGATGTTGAGCACCGCGTCGAACGACTCCAGCTCGATGCCCTCTTCCTTTTTGACGTCCACATACAGCTGCCCCGAGACCAATGCGCCCGAGCTGTTCTCCGCGTCACCGTAGAATACGATAGGTGGGCTCTCAAGCTTCCAATCCAGCGTTGCGGGCGTGCTGCTGGTGCCGAATAGTCCATCTTTGGAACTCGAGCTACGACCGAGATGAATCCCCGGGAAGGATATCCTGTGGTGGTGGTGGTCCTTGTGCTTCTCCGAGTCGTAGCTCTGCGCCCGTTCGACCATCTTCCTCCTCTGATGTACTCCTGGTGGCCTCTCGTCCTGCGGCGTGTACGGCGGGGCGGAATCCTCCGAGTCGACGTCCTCTACGCTCGAAGCATATGTGTGCACCCTCTCCGAGCTGCCGGATGCGCGGGCAACTGCGTTGTTTGATTGTGATCTGGTGGGCGAGTCCGTCCTGGCCCTGCGTGTGGCGTTCTTCTTGAGGTTCAGCACCTGCGACTCTAGCGAATTGGTGGAGGCCTTGAAGAAGGATGCGACTCGGTGTGGCATTGTAACTGCGACAAAGGTGTGATCTCACCTTATCGGGCGGATCAACTAAAGCGTCCAATCCCTGTCTAGCGTCGCGCCGAGGTCGGAAAGTCGGAGAGAATTTGGCGGGGGAGGGGCAACCTGGATGGCAGCAAGCAGCTCCTGCAGTCCGTCGTCACGAGGTTTGAGCAAAAGTGCACCTTCCGATCTTTTTTAGCTTTCTCCTCAGCTCGGAGCCTCCTTCGTTTTTGCTTCGGGCGATCGCAAGCGGGCTATGGGATGATGCAATGGCGCTTCTCCTCGACGGTCGTATTTTCCGGGGTACCTCCGTAGCGTGCTTTCCTTTTCCCACAACTGGTCTGGTGATGCAGCTGATGACTCGCACCTGCCGTTTTGTTTGAAAGCCTTGCCTTGGTTCTTGCTTGGCGCTAGGGCGGTTTGGCAGACCTGCAGCAGCGAAGAGTTTGTTGGTCGGCCAGCTTGTTCTTTTTCCCCTGGAAAGCTCTTTGCAATGATGCAGTGGCTGATAGTGATGTAGATGTTGTCCTTGGGCTTGTATTCTCGAGTACAGTCGATTCGGAATTCGAATTGGTGAGGGCCGTTACGTCAGGGGTCGTTATTCTCGGAGAGGCCGTTAGATGGTGTGAGCGGGTAAGAATTGTGTGTAAGTGCGTGTTGTCGGTGCAAGTCTGGTGGGGTGTGCAAGTCGTGTAAGTCTCAGTTATGAACAAGACAACAACAAATCGGTTGGAAAATAGCAAGAGATGGTAAACTCGACATGCAAAAGTGCCAAAACAAGAGGATAAATAACAAACAGTGAAGTCACCATCAGCAGATTCTGGGGAGCCATTCAAATATGAATGAACTGGTGAAAAAACAGTCAGACATTCGCATCACCCCGTTCAGGGCCCTGTTGGTGAGTGTTCCGTTAGTTGGGCCTGTAACAGTGGTTGCTTTTAGCTAATTATGTGTCAACACTTTGCTCGACGTTGCGCCAAGCAAGGAAGGACTTGGAGGTGACATGCAACGCATGCAAAGGCCTGGCCAGAGTTTTCCTTTTTGTCCTGCACAGATCGAGATCCCAGTGGTACGGAAGCTGGGCCGGCGGTTGATCCACAGCGTACTCCGAATGTTTCTACGGCTAGTGGGGTACCAGCCAGCCATTGGCAATGTCTTGGATTCTCGCGAGCTCGAGGACTGTGTAAGTGGCGGGCCGAGTTCTCTCCCTCTCGCAGTCATCCACGCCCAGTACAGCAGTAATTGACATCCCATCCCTACCCCGATGTCTACAAAGTAGGGCGTCAATGGCAGAGGTTTATGAATTGTGGCTTGGTTCACATTGGAGAGTGCGACGACAGGAACATCTTGTCGCCGTGCAGCTGGCCTCACATCGACGGCCTCAGCGATGTTCAGCTCCATGAGGCATTGCAGCGCGGAGGCCGTGTAAGTCAGCTCTAACGATCGCCAACACCGATTGAGAGCCTCAACCTCACGCCTTAGACGGTCTTTACCATGTTCACGTCGAATATTGCCCCCATGAGGATGGCAGAAGGATGAAGAAGCGCCTGTACCGATGCTGCGGTCATGGTCTCAGCACCGATTCTTCATTGGAGTTCTTAACGGTCACGGTGACAGCTATGGTTAACTGTTGCTATTCAAGCCGTTCACGACACCAAAATTGGTGTCTCTATGCAGCGCATACAAAACATTGCCCGCAAGCAGACAAGCTCTCCTGAAAGACAAAAGCCGTGTTGCCAACAGCGCCAGCGCCAAAACTTCACGTCACATGGGCGCATCACGTCGTTGGCATTTGTGCCGGCGTTCTCAGCGGGGTCACCTGCTGGGGACCTTGCTGGGTTACGACTGCCAAAACAGCGGTAGCGCCGTACCTACCCGTCATTTTAGACTCAGCCTTAAATCGCCCCGTCCCACTTGTTGTCCGCAGATCCACCACAGGTGAAAAAGAAGTTTTTCTCACTGCACTGTGGTGCCCGCCCTGTTTTCAGCCATTTTGATTGTAAGAGAGACCAGGAAAGGGATGGCATTCCCGAGGAAATTCGAAGCGGGAAGGCGTCTTGTTGTTCCTGGCGGCTGTCCCGAAGCTCACATCTACGCCTGGAGGGTAGTTCCTGCTCTGAGCAACGGTTCCCTAAGATCTGAGGATCTCGAAAAGCTTGGATGATGCTGACTTGCCTCAACAGTGCATTCGCTCGGGCACAGTCTGATGACATGGCCTACTGGCATGATTGCCCTTCTCACGCCAGACGGTCACGAAATGGTGACATACGCCCAATCAATTCATCACGGCACGGCCATGTGGTGATGTCAACGGAGTACAATATTTACTTTCTCCGCGGAGCATTAGACTCGTATGTAGTTCTTTTTCAAGATCACATGACTCCTCTCTCCCACCCTCTCCCCGCAAACAAGAGACGCCGTCGAAGAAATCCAAGATCGCCAAGTCGGCCAACGCTAGAGGCGCTGTGTCACCACACCTGTGACATCCTTTGCTGCTTACTTGGCGATGTTGGCGTCGACACTGGTGGCATGAATATTCATGGGAAATGTCAGTGTTTGCAGATGCCATGGCGTAACCTGTTCTCCCCGGCCAGTTAAAGACTCGCGGTTTGCTACAATTCAACCGCCGGCGCTCGAACTGCTCTCTCCTCTTCCCATTTGATCACGTTGCTGTGTCTAAATGTCGACGTCGAACTGGACCTGCATGCGTGGTTTACCTAATGTACATCTCATACGAGCTCACCGTCCGAAAGGGGTGAATGAAGCTTCATCGCCAGAAGTCTGGTATGATTTTTTCTATCGACTGCCCCTGAGCTCTCTGTAGCTGAGTTTTTACAGGGCTTCAGCAGTCTGGAACAGCCGCTCTCGCCCTGCCCTGAGGCCACTGTTAGCAAACAGTTACTCGATCTGGCTGATACAGGGGGCGGATTACCAGATCTGTTGTTGCCGGGATGCAACGCTGCACCGACTGCATCGAGACAATCTCTGATCTTCTGTGGAGACCGTTGAAGACGACTCAAATTCTCCTCTATCACGAACCCGACCGCCTGAACGTTCTGAACTTCAGGAATGCACACATTGTTGGACTCTCCGTCGGAACTGGCCGAAGAGAATGACTCCATCGCTATATGCAAGCTAGGAGTTGGCCGGTTTACGTACCCGGTGGAGTTAGTTAGTTCGTCATTCCTGCCGGGAGAGCTAAGCTAGCTTCCTCCTGGATGACGAGTATCCGTTCTTCTGTAAAGATCTCCACCGGTGAGGCAAGGTGGAACCCCTGACCGCTGGCGGAAGCGCGAGTCGAGATCCATTCACTGCCCGAGAGGTTCCACATTTCGGCCGGGCAAGCTTTTTTTCACCTCTTCGTATTTCCCGGGTCCTCTTTCGTCTTTCCCGGATCTGATCCTGGAGAAGAGATTCTTTGCGAATCCACTGCGGTTACTCTCGGTTGGAGATGGCATCGTGAACAACTTCACGAGAAGTTCACTCTGCTGGTTTATGTTGCTGAGGCGATGATATGCGGGACATGATTCATAAGGTACTCAGGGGCGTCCGTCGAAATTTTCCCTCGCAACGTTGCCTCTGGGAGGCAGGTTGTCGTTGCAAGGGCATCTCTTTACTGGTGAGGTTATAGATCCTCTGGCAGGACATCTCGAGGAGATCGGTGTCATGGGGATGGGCGGGATATCTTTTGCTGTTGATGTGATGTTCTCCGAACTTCAGGGGTTCAGCGTCGCCAAAGAGCACAAGCAAGTCAGTGCTGTTCAGCTCGATCCTGGTCCGCCGGATAGCTCCCCCATCAACAAGAAAGCTCTGCCCATCCGTAGAGGAGCTCCTTTCGATCATGTCGAACCCTCAGCGATGATCTCCCGCCCGGAGCTTCCTCCGGGACCTCACTCATGGAGCTCAAGCAACATGTTCGATGGACCCTTCCAGCCTTCACCTCGACCCCCTTCAACACCGCAGACCCATCCATATCCATAACTAACCGTAGGCACACTTCTCCATACCTTATCTATCCGTCCTCATCCACCACAGCGACGAACTCTATCCACCCTCCTCCACCAAGCGAGTCAGCTCCCGCTACAGCTTCACCCTCACCGCGAGTCATAACGCGCAGTTGCTCACCAATTCCTTCATCGTTGCGGGTTTAGCTCAGTTGGGAGAGCGTCAGACTGAAGCCCAACTTCATCACCTAGTGTTTATCTGAAGGTCGTGTGTTCGATCCACACAAACCGCATATGTTGTCCCTTGTGTCTGAGAGATGTGAGAAGCCTTTTTTTGCTGTTTTCAGTTGTGGTGTTGTGCTATTTCGCCGTTCGATGTGTTAAATAGACGGCCTGGGCTGCTATGCATGTTCGTAGGACAGCTAGGTAGAGGCTCGCGGGTGGAAAGCGGCAAGCGGTCACTCATGGAACTTGGTACACAAGGCGAGATGGGCAGACTGAGAACTGCGGGGTGGTCTCTCGTAAGTGTCAATCGAGGTTGGAATTATATATCCTTCATATGCAGGCTCGCTCCAACAAGGTTGGAGTTTGACTGTTCATGAATCTCGCATCAGGAGGGTGGTGTATAAGCGGGTTTGCTGGGTGTTGACTGTCATGACGTTCTGGGACACCCTTGGGAAGGGTATACATCGACTGTATTGTACAAAGATCCAAATCTGAAGAGTGACTGCTCAGGCTCTGAGCTCTCTGGAAGACTGTCCAGATGCTGGCAGTATAACAGGGCGAGTAAAGTCTATGTTCTATTGACGAGACGTCCGGGCCATGGAGCCTTTGATGTTGACGATGGTTTAATCGAGTATGCAAATGATGAGTAACGAACTTTACGACGTTGACAGTCATGACGAGGACGACTTGACGTGGTGAAAACCAAGGTACGCTTAATCGAAAGCCTACGACACCATAAAGAGACGCTTGAACCAACGCATAGTATTACAGTCATGACACCGAGAGAAGCAAAAAATGATGTATACCCTGCGCGCTACCTACCAGCAAGTATGAACCAGCATGTACACTTGCCCAACGGTCCAAACCCAGTCAAACACGCTTCCCAAACTCCTAAAATGCATCGCTAATTCCATCAATCACACCGCTGTAACCGCCTTCGTGTCGTGTTTCACCTCCTCCGTCCCACCAACCGTCCCCCCCTCCTCATCCTCCCCATCCTCCTTCCGCCGCAGCGGCTTGGAGGGATCGTACCCCACGCTCTTGACGATGCCGAGCCCTTTCGTCCTCCCCTCCCTGAACAAGAGCCTATCTCCGGGAGCGAGATATTCCGGCCGCTGCACGAAGCGGAAGGCGACGGTCGCGCGGTCGCCCGTCCGGATGAAGGGGCGGTCGACGTCGATTATGGCGCAGGTCTGCGAGACGGGGCCGACGTGGAGCATGGCTTGGTATTTTGTTTTTATGGTGGTTGCGTGGGAGAGGATTAGGACTGTGACGACGAGCATTTTGTTAGCGAGGTTACGCGGTTTTTCTCATACGGTGGTTGAGGTATGGTCGTCTGGGTGGTCTCAATCTTCGAATCGGTATGCTGGCAAACCGTCCGTCTCATGCGTCTCGTCTCATTCGTATAATCTCATGGTACCATCGCCTCGTCTCATAGCTTTCGTATCTCGTCTCGTTTCTTCGTCCCATCGTTCACGGAATGGTAGAAAAAGGGGGGAAATCACATACCCTCAGCAACAAACTCCCGATGTACCCTCGGCAGCGGCGCGCCCTCAATCTTGGGCAACACGACCATGCCCTTCCGCACGTCTTTCCTCCTCACCTTCTTCAGCGCAAAACTGGCGCTCTGACCCGCGCTAGCAGCGGGCACGCCGATCCTCTTCCTCTCGATGGACTTGACGCTCGTCTGGGTGAAGTTCCCCAGACTGTCGGGTCCGATGAGGATATTGTCGCCGGCGTGGATGACGCCCGACTTGATGATGCCCGACACGACGGTGCCCACGAATGGCACGGAGAACGTGTCGTTGACGTGGAACTCGAACGGCGCGTCGGCATCGTACCGGCCGTGGTGAGGCAGGATGTTGAGGAACGTCCGCACCAAGTCCAGGTTCTCACCCGTTACGTTGGAGACTTGGAAGATGGGACATATCCTCTGCGACACGAACTGCGTGGCGGTGTTGACGCACTCCTCCCTGTTCTTGATGAAGATCGGGATTTTCCTCGCGCCCGGGGATTTCAATATCCTTGTGATCTGGGCGATGGTTTGCTCCAAAATCTGCGGAGGGCAGATGTCGATTTTGGTAATGACCACCATGACCGGCACGTTGAGCGCCAGGGCGATGCCCAGGTGCTCTTTACTCATGCCGATCAGGCCGTTGTTCGCCGCCACCATGAGGAGGCAGTAGTTCGGGCTGCTGGACAACAAGCCGAAGACGGTGGTGCGGAGATACCGCTCGTGGCCCGCCAGATCGGTGAAGGTTATTACTTTGGCGCTGCGCTTGCCGATCTCCTCCCAGGAGAGCTTGCGCCCGGGCACGTCGGAGGTTATTACCTGTCCGTGGGTATCGAAGCCCATGATCTCCATGCCCACGGAGGACGTGCGGCCCGTCTCGATTTCGTGTTTGTGCCGGAAGAGGTTCACTCGTGCGCGCCCGCGGCCGTCGTCTAGGTCGCCTTTGACTAGGACGCCGAGCATGGAGGATTTGCCTGCGTCGACTGGTGGCTGTCAGCATGATGAACGAACGATTGGTTGATTGAACGAGCGCCCGAGCAGGCGACGAGACGACGAGCACCTCGTTATTAAACTACCATTATTCAACACCAAGGGGGAAAAGAAGACTCACCATTCCCAACAACAGCAATCCGCGTCTCGATAACATCCTCCACCGTCCGCGGCACCTGTCTTACCATAACCTTGCCACTGCATCCGCCGTCCCCTTTCCCGCCGGCCTGGCCCTCCACCTCACCGCCGACATTCTTAGTTATCAGCAATTGACAGTCCGCCCTCGCCTGCTTGGCGGCCTCGGCCAACCTCTTCTGCGCCGTCGCGAACTCGTCGGAGGTCAGCTTCTGGCTCTCTCCGCTGTTCTCGTAGCCGATCTCAAAGACTGTCTCGCCGAAGCCCTCGCTCAGTCGCCCGGTGAGGAGCTCGGCCAGTTGCTTGAGGGAGGCGTCGTCGGTGGAGAGGAGGAGGTCGCGTAGCTTGACTTGTGGCTTGTGCTCTGTCAGGTCGAGGTTGTCGAGTAGGTCGTCCAGTTCGTCGTGGTGCTCGACGTCGGCTGTGGTAGTGGTAGTGGTGACGGTGGCGGTCTTGTGGTGGTGGGAGGGGAACCGCAGCTCCTGTTGCTCCTCGACGTACTCGGTGAACTCGCGCAGGGCGGCCTCACCTTTCCGCTTCTCGTGCGGCAACTGTTTGCTCGTCATGGTGGTGTGGATGTCGAGCGTTAATGGGTTTAGTTTCGTATTCGTGTGATCATTGCGGTGGTTGTATGCGATTGTACAATTGTTGTGATGTGTAAAGAGCAGAAGGAGACGAAGAGGTGAGAGAATAAAAAGGGCGAGTTAGACGAATAACTTATACTCACAGGTACATGTTCGGCGAGTGAGTCTTCGCGACGGCGTGGTAGAGTCATCGATATGCGCTTCGATGCGCTTCGCCTGATGTCGTGAGTAACACCTTATCGATAAGGAGACCAGACGCGGGGAGCTTGGACCCCCTTTTGGCGGGGGAGATTCTCCACCCCCAGATTCAGTGGGCCCGACCGTCACCGTCCATGAATGTTAGGTGACCCTCATCTCAATATTCATTTCAACTCACAACTTTATTTGACCGACGACTGGACGACTTCAATCAAGTACGCGTCTCGAGACGGTCACACAGCGTGGCCAGCCAACCTATGATAAGGGCATTTGAAACACCCCGGATCATGATTGTCTTTCAATGATCTCGACAGACCGCCCGACGCTCAGTGAGAGGCACTTAATGGATCTTAGGGAAACCTCCATTGAGAAACACCATGAGATAGCCATCTCGTGGATGGATGGCCTCTACATCTTCCTGGCTCATCATCGGACACGACCTTCAGCCCAAAATCATTTTGTACTTTCCCTCATCCTCACTCCCCATGCTTCATTCAACCTATGGCACGCGATATACAAACACCAGGCTCCCACCCCCAGGCGGTCCCTGTCCCTCGGCGCCACCACTGACATAGATCTGCGTGTCCCCCGTCAAGCCCGCTATCAGTCCGCCTACGGCAGCCCGCGCGTGTCTGGTGCCGTGGATATCGCTGTCTGTGCTCATGGTGTGTCTCTTTCCCCTCACCAAGCCGGACGGATCGGCCTCTGCCTTGGCGAACACTTGCAGGACCTCGCCGCCCTCTTGCTTTATCTGCTCGAGAGAGCGGAGGATAGAGGCTGCATCGATGGCGTCCTCCATGATCGTGGAGATGGTTCGGAGCTTGCCCGGTGTCTTTGAGGTTCCGAGGACTAGGATGTGGCAGTTCTCCAGCTCCGCGCCGGAACTGCAACTGGCGATGCCGGACCAGTTCTCTACAGGCCTTCCTGTGTATTCTAGACTTTCGAGGACCTCCTCCACGCGATCCTCGTCCTGATACTTCAGGCCCACCTCGGCAGCTTTAATGCCTACGGCGGAAGCATACCTCGACAGAGCCATGGACTCATAAGTGTCTGTCGTGAGTGGTACCTTATTCTGCGCCTTGATTGCATCGATCTTGGTCGTCGTCAACAACGGGCATTTGATCAGCACCAAGCTCGCCTCGAAGCCCGCCCTGTCAAGCACGCTCTCGATTCGGGTTCCGACCTCCCTGGCCTGAACTATGGTGCCTATCTCGTGCGGCTCAAAGTCTCTCGTGTGCGTTACAGCAGCGACGAGGCCAGTCTCTACACCCTCTTTCTCACGCACGATGAAAGTGGCATGAGGCGAGAGCACGCCCTCCGTGCCGCCAGAGAAGATGGTGATGGCGTCCTTTGGGATCAAGGGCTCCCATACCACCGCCGCCAAGGTGCGCGAGAAGTCGTTGACACAGCCATTGCCTGGTTGTACTCATCAATACCTAGCATTTGTGAGAGTATGGAATGGCACATACCCTCTGTCTTGCCAATCACGGCGATAATCTGTGATGCATCGTAGCCAGCACGCCTGAGCTCCTTGAGCGGGGAGATATCAGCAGGCGAGGAGATGCCGAATTTGAGGATGTTGACGGCCGACATTGTGATTGTTTTGCGACAGCTACCTTAAAAGGAGGGAAGCCAACAAGTGTTGGAG